AAAAAAAATACTTACCATACAATATATTAAACAAGGAGCACTTACGTCCAACACCTTCGCAGAAAGATCCTTTCCTTGGTTCCTTCTTTGATGTTTCAGTTCATCCTTAATTTCGCAGATGTCTTTACTATTACTTTGAATTAAAAGGTAGAGCTGCTTGTGCTGTTGAAATAACTGTTGGTCGACTTGGTGATGATAACTAGTGCGTTCTTATTTCATTTTGGGAAAAAAAAAAAAAATTTTTCAAAAAAAAAAAAAAAAAAAAAAGGAAAATCACTATCTAAAGATCCTAAGATCAGAAAAAAAAAAAAAAAAAAAAAAAAAAACTTATATGGGTGTCGCAAAGTGAAAACCTGATTTTTAGAAGTTTTACAAACATAATTACAGGATTTTCACTTTGCAGTACTCATATACTGTATCATCACGATTTCGTGGTTGATCTTAGTTGGATAATTGTCGATCTTGTGATTGTGATCTGGATCGTGATCTAGATCTTTCTTGCGAATACTGAGGCAGCAGTAATAAAGACCTATCACGTTCGATAGAACACGATTAGGTTTGGGAGGATTGACGTTCAATAGAACGAGATGAGACTTGAACAGATTGACATTTGGTTTGGCGCGATGGGATTTGGATGGTTTGTCGTTCGATTTGGTGTGATAGAGTTTAGATAATTTGTCGTAATTGATTTTGTCATTTCTCTTTACTACTATTCATACTCTTAAATATTTTCTGCATACTTGCAATACTTTTATTAGAAGAGTCAGAAGAATCACCATCATCACAAGTATTATAAGTATTGTGAATTGGTTTATGAGATCCAACGATATTATGAGATGAATGACATGGAGTAATCGAACAGGATCGATTTGAATTGATGGGAACAGCTGGATATAGAGAAGGTAAGTTGTTGTTCGAAATTAAGTTGACGTTTGAAGCAGTGTTGGTGTTGTTTTTAGGAGCATTGTTATTAGAAGAGTTGTTGTTAGGAGAGTTGTTGTTAGGAGAGTCGTTGTTGGGAGAGTTGTTGTTGAGAGAGTCGTTGTTAAGAGAGTTGTTAGAAAAGTCGTTGTTAGGAGAATTGTTGTTAAGAGAGTTGTTGTTGGAAGAGTTGTTGTTAGAGGAGTTGAGAAAGTTGTTATTGGAAGCAGGAGAGTCATTATTTTGAACAGGAGAGTTGTCATTGGGAGAGTTGTTATTAGGAGCATTGTTATTAGAAGCTATTTCAAAAATCCAAAAATGTCTTTACCTTTTCAAATGTCAAATCGGTTATATAAATAACTAAGAAAAGAATGACAATATTAATTGTTATTATTAAAATAAAATAAAATAAAAAAAAGTGAAAGTATGCTTATCTCATTTGTTGCATTTGGTCAACTTACGTATAATGATAATTTATTGTTTCTAAGAAATTATGTAATAAAAATTAATGTATGTCGTTGTTAAGCATTATATAGTAGTAAAAAAAAAAAGAGAAAGTATACTTATCTTATTATTTTTTTGGATAACGACAATTTATTATATCTGAGAAATAGGAATTAAATTTAATATATTATGACGTAAATCGTTAAGTTATAGAGAAAAAGAAA